ACTGCTGAGCGTGAAATTGTGAGGGATATGAAGGAGAAGCTCGCYTACATTGCTCTTGACTATGAGCAAGAGCTAGAGACAGCCAAGACAAGCTCATCTGTAGAGAAGAGCTATGAACTGCCTGATGGGCAGGTGATCACCATTGGTGCTGAGCGTTTCCGATGYCCWGAGGTTCTCTTCCAGCCGTCCATGATTGGTATGGAAGCTGCTGGCATTCACGAGACGACATACAACTCTATCATGAAGTGTGACGTGGATATTAGGAAGGATCTATATGGCAACATAGTCCTCAGTGGTGGCTCCACCATGTTTTCAGGCATTGCTGATAGGATGAGCAAGGAAATAACAGCATTAGCACCCAGCAGCATGAAGATCAAGGTTGTGGCTCCACCTGAGAGGAAGTACAGCGTTTGGATTGGGGGATCCATCTTGGCATCTCTCAGCACTTTCCAGCAGGTATTTATTGTCTTCACTCTTCACTCTTCAGTAGTAGTACTAGGCTAATAACAAACATATTTATATATTAGCATTATACTTGGCCAGAAGGCAATTGTTTGTAGGTTGTCTGATTACATGATTTTATTTTATTTTTCTTCCCTTGCTCCAGATGTGGATTTCAAAGGGGGAGTACGATGAGTCTGGGCCATCTATAGTGCACAGGAAATGCTTCTGATCATGCCTGGGAAAGGCAAGAGGTTTTGAAGACAAATACCATACGTCCGATAAATATTGTTTTTGATTGTGCATGCTCAGAAATGTTTTGTTTCTTCTTTTTATTACTATCCCATTTTTCTCTCATTCCAAAATGGGACATTGACCTCAAAGGGGCTTTAAATCCCATCTTTTTCATTTTTATTTCTTCCTACAAGCTATATGTATTAATGATTTAACACTTATTATATACTAATAGTATATAATAATATATTATTATATTATACTATATAATATAGTATATATATTATAATATATACTGTACTATATAGTATAATATAATATACTATACTATTATGTTATACTATAGTATATTATTAATATTATTATATATTACTATATAATATTATATATATTATAGTATATAATACTATACTATATATATTATATTATATATAATATATAATATTACTATATTATAGTATAATATATTATAGTAGTATTATAATATTACTATATAATATATTATAATATTATAGTATACAATAATCTAATATACTATACTATATGTTATACTATAATATAGTATAATATAGTATTACTAATATATTATAGTATAATATTATATTATATTATATTATATTATATTATATTATATTATATTATATATTAATATTATATTAGTAATATATTAATATTATAATATTATAACAGTACTATGAATATTAATATTATAACGTTATTACATTTTATTAATATTAATAAGCTAATATTACACTAGTTATATGTATTAATATAATATTAATATTAATATTAATGTAGTACAATTAATATTAATATTAGTATGGTTAATATTAGTATTAATAACCATACTAATGTAATTATTCTATTACATTAATAAACAGTGGTTATTAATACCTCTGAATTTATTAACCATTGTCAATAAATGGTTAATACACTGTTATTAATGGTTATTAGGAAATAACCACAGTGTATCAAAATATGGGGTTATGTTCAATAATAATATGGGCCACAATTAATTGTAGGCCCATTTATATTACACTCGTACTACTCAGTATTTGTAGTAACCTTAATAGCCATTTGATTAATTCAATGTATCCTAATATACACTTGTACCATTGTGCATAATTGTGCTACAATTGATTTTGTAACATAAATTTATGTATACATTAGTTTATAGTGTGTGCTTATTGACAATGAGGATGGCTGAATGTACCCTTGAACATTTCCACTATAAAGAGAAAGCATTGGGTTCCACTTTTATAAATACATAATGTTTTAAAAACTAACACAGAGGTCGAACCGTTTTTGTGTCTAGGTCGCAGGTCATTGGTTCGACCATCTGGGTCAAATGGGTCAGACCGTCTCATGTATTTAATAACCCTCCTTAACCCGACAACTGCTACAGTGTTCACTTTAAGTAGCAATACAATAGCAATTAACAGTGGGTTTTTAAGCCCTAAGTCGGACTCTTTTCGCATATGTGCCATCATTTGGATGCTGGAAGTTGTTCCAAAAGCCAAATTCCAACATTAAACCACCAAAAAATAGCATAATAGATAAAAATGATCTCTGTTCTATAAAAGAAGATTACGACAGATTGTGACTTGGTAGTGATTTACAACATTTTTGTTCCAATAGGACCCCATTGTTTAGTATGAAAACAATATTATGGAATCCGAAAATTATAATAAAAGAAGATTTTCAGCAATGTTTTTGTAAATACCTCGTTGAGATGAACCTGGGTGAGATGAAACCCCTGATTCAAATGAAAAGAAACCCATAAAAAATGTTTACAATCCAAAAAATGATGTGAGATAAAAGCACAGAAAAAACTTATATGGGTAAACGCTAAAGTTGACAACACTCCTACCTGTTCAGTGTATTAGACGCTTATGTTCTTTGATAGTGAGAAGACTCTGAAATTATGAAAACTCTGAAACGATGGAAAGAGTCCCCATAAATATTGCATGATTGGCAATGTTTCAATTTCCTAAGATGATACAATTTTCTAGATTGGAAGAAGGAAATGACTCCAGTTCGTTTAGCCAAGTCCCCAGTTTTTTGGCAACTTCCCTCTTAAATCACGATTAGAGAAAATCGAAAATTACGTGGCATCTCTATGGGCTTCTAGAGGGAATCTTGCACCCCCTCTAGAATTGCTTCCTAAGGGACAAGGAGGGGTGCTATATCCCGTGCATCACATAGGGCCTTGTTAGTTATAATTACTTTTGTGCTTTTGATAATTTTTTAAAGTTATAACATAATTTTGTTATTTAATCTATTTTTTGTTTTTGAAATAATATATAAGATATGATTTATTTAATAATATTTTGATATTTAAAATATTTATAATATTATTTTATTATTGAAATAATTCCATTATTTAAAATTTTATAATATTAATTATTTATTAAATTTAATAATCCATGAAATTATAATTTATACCATTATTACATAATTTCACTATTAATTTTATAAAATATAAAATTATTATTAATTCAAAAGTTATGAAATCTATTATAATTATCATTCTACTCTTAAGAATTTTTTTAGATATTAAATAATGTATTATTATTCATTATTTAAATATTTAAATAATATATAAAATATTTAATCTTTTTTTTTGCAATTTAAAGTTATTATGTAATTTAAAATATTTTTTTACATAATTATTTAGCTACTTTTAATATTTTTGTTATTTAAATAATTTTTATTTATGTTTTAAAATATTATTTAGTTATTAAATTAATTGAATAATCCATAAAATATATTTTTTATTGTTATTACATAATTTCATTATGAATTTCATAAAAATATAAAATTATTAATAATATGGATATTATTAATCCTATTATAAATATTTTGTGTTTTTAATAAATATTTTAAAAGTTAATAACATAAATTCATTATAATATTTAAATAATTGTTAAATGTTTTAATTAGAAATATTTAGGAGATAAATACGAATTAGGGAGAGATAGAGATAATTTAGGAGAAAGTAGGGGATAGTTAGTTTCCTAATAAAAATGAGAAGAAAAAAAAGGTGATAAGCCATGTTAGGTGGTAACTCCTAGTGCTTTTAGAGGGAATCTTGCACCCCCTTTAGAATTACTCGATTTGGGTAAAGGAGCAAGGACAGGATTGCTAACATGGCAAGCTCTATTTTAGTATATACTAGTGTTAGACAGTGTATGCCCTTAGCTCCAATCAGATTGATGTACTTATTATCATCTATTATAAATGAACAAAGTGCATAATTGGTTCATATTATTCTGGTGTGTTTTTGTGTAATACCCTTAAATTGGACACTTATGAGATTCGTGTTAGTTTAGAATCTTCATAGCCGTTGGATAGATCTGGGGAGATTTATCCTAATAAGGTTGACACTGATGTGCCGCCAAGTGAGTTGGCATGGCTTGTCTCAACTACTAGGGTGAAACCTAAAGTACATGTAGTGTGGGTTTTCTTGAAACCCTGAACTGGACCAAATTCTAGTATTGCCTTGGACCTTGGAGATAGATGGGCAAAACTGGAATGTTACACCTAACCCCTAGACTCGATTATGGTAGTGCAGTAGGTGTTGGATTAGGCTGTCTTTGATATGCCAATCAGTGAGATCCTTGACYGGGTCAAAACCTGGGTATGTTGGGATAGTTCGAGAATTCACCTGAGTGGGTGATCATAGTGACACGATCATCCCCTTTGTCGAACAAAGTGAATGATCAGGGAATGCACTCTCTCTGATGGAAACCTAAATTGCCAACAGTTGATTTCAAACTTGTTGAAATTTGTTTTGCAAAATATATTTATATAGAGATATACTTATATGTTATGGTTTCACAAAACGTTTGCAAAATGTTATAATTCCYGGGATCCATGTGAGTAGAGAGTGCAACACTGTACCTTCTACCTTGCAACCGAGGGAGGGGTTCTCTCTTGTCGGACAGTGTAT